TTTTGTCAAATAATTGTTGCATTAAAGGAAATTTTCATGGCTAGCTCATTCTTCCTTCCTCATAAGAGGCAAGATAAACATATTGAATTAATGTTTAAGACAAGATGCATGGATGTATGTCTCACCAGCCAGCTGCACAGTTCAGATGCTGATCTTCCACTGATGAGAAATCAGAAGTGTCTGTGTGCATGTCTGTGTGTGTGTATGTGCACTTTTCTGCACAGACTTAGCAAACTCAACAACACTAAAGACATATTTTCATATCAGAAACTGTACATGATTTGTCATCAAGTAAGTGTGACAGCATCATGCCTGGTTCCATCAATGCGTCCTCTCATACAATGGAAGTCTTCACAGAAATGAGTCTTTTTCTTCTCTTTCTGGAAAGAAGGACTTCATGTCCTTCTTCCTTTGTGGAACAGGAAGCTTTTACAAGCTTGCTGACACAGCTGTGTCATAAGGGCAGCAATGTGACAAGATTTGAGAGTCCTTTAGGTGTTCCTACAAGAGTCTCTACAGGAGAAAATTACTCCAGAAGAAGTTGTTTAGTTAGGAGTACTTATCCTGCTCAGAAAGCACCAGAGGATGCAGAAGAGAATTTTACCAAAGTATTGGTGTCCGCACACTGTTGGAACAGTGTGAAGTACAGGACATTTTCTCAATGAAGCCTTTGAAGTACAGCTTCTGTTAGAGTTGTCTCTTCTGTCTCTTTTAGAAGCACAAAACTTCCTTATGTAGATAGTTCAGTACAGAATGTGTTTGAAAAAAGGAGTCTCAGCATCTTTGCAGATATCTAAGTCTTCCTGTATTTCTCTTTACTAATTACTATTTTCTTGATTTTTTTTTTTTTTTTCAGTTGAAAGTCTTTGTCCTATTTAGTTTGGCTCACACCTATCATGAACCTCAATTATTATCCATTGTCTATTTCAATGGAAATTCCTTATTTCCCCAGTGAGTGTCTAAACTGAACAGACAGAGAAAAGAAATAAATGTAAACTACATTAAGAATACAGAAAAAAACATCACAAACAACTCTTGTTATAGGTTAAACTGGAGCCTGTTTTGTGTTGATATTTATATTTCTAACATCACAGTGACTCATTGTTGCCCCATCTTTCTACCTACTTCCTCTGTTTGGGAAGGGAGGAGAAGTAAACTGCACACATTCAGAAAGGAAATGAAACCTCTCAGAAAAGGGGTATTTTTCAGAACAATAGAAAGACCCAATTGCATGATCTAAAATTAACTGTGAAATCTCTATGTCTGTCCCAGTGTTCCTACACACATGCTATATGGGGTGCCCCAAGATTCATTCATGAAGGATTAGGACTGATGAACTATTTCTCATATTGAAGTTCATTAATGTAACTTGTGAATGAATGTCAGGACATCCAGAATTAAAACACAAAATGCCAGACCATGTATCACCAGGCAGAGGGAGATGGGTGTGGTAATGACCCACGAGATACACTTACAGCAGCTGATAGCCCTGGAGCAACTGAGATTGCAACAGAAAAGATGAAATTACCTAATTATTGGCCTGGAATAGGCCGTTGATACCTATTTCCTCTTGTTTGATTTCAAAATAGTTTTTTTACTGTTAGATTGAGATTAATACTTGATGTTATTCACTATTTGCTGTTGGAAGAATCTGCTTTAAGAGAACTTCCTGTTGGACCTCAGTGCTTCTTATCAGAATGGCTGTTGATAAGAATTACAGTTGCTCGCTTTTCTCTGTTTATAGCCAGTACTTACTTCAAGAAATAATGAAACGTGATTATATTATACTGTTGATGTGATTTCCCATTTTAGTTGTTTTTTTATATAAGTGTATACTTTTGGAATATCCACACAATATAACCTGAACACACAGGTGAATTTTAGAGTGCTTTGCAGTACCAGACTTCATAATAGAAATTTTGCTGCCAAAACAAAATCTAAAGATTTGTTTTCCATAGGAGGTGTGCAGTGTTTAGAAAGATTTTGAGGACTCTACTTGGAGTTAAATTTCCTCCAGCTTCTAATAAAGTAAATCTGCTACAGAGAAACTCAGAATTAATATGAATATTCACCAATCTTTGCTTAAGCAATAGCTGAAAAAAACAAACCACAATATTTGGAGGAAAATTGAAGCATAAGGAATGTACTTGGTCAGTTCAGCTGAATATTAAGAAAGATGACACTAGTTTATAGAAGTCAATGGATCATGGGACAGAGGCAAATCAGTATTATACTGATTTCAAAATAGGATCCTGAAATTTTTACTAAGAATGCTGCCTTCATTGCTGGGCTGGTAAAGTCAGGATTTGTCATGCATTTCTATCAACAGTGGTAATCTAATGCCATATCTGCAGACACATCTAACAAATTAATTGAAACACTTTTTAGTACCTTAAAAACATTTTATTTTCCCAAGCCAGAATGATCTGATTTCCACTTGGTTAACTATAATCTCAACTGTTACTTGAAACAGTGCTTTCAAGAAATGTCACCCAGCTTGTAAAATAAAATTCAGTAAACTTAATCAGCATTCTCTCATACCATGAAATTACCAGCATTTTTTTCCTGCAGTTTTGTCCTTTTTTTTTTTCTTCATCATGAGAAGCAATTTTGTACTTTCAAATAGCCTCCAAGTGTCAGCCACTGCTTTTATTTCCTCTTTTATATGATTTTATAATTTCGTTTTGTATTTGCTTCCCAATCTGCAATGTAACTTCTTGCTCTTTTGTTGTTGTGCTCTATGGGTCACATCGGTGCTCTAATTACTCACTAAGTCATTTTTTCATAGTTCACCATGACTCCCTGGAATGCCTATTGAATGCCTTTGTAAAGCCTTTGCTAATGGGTCGCAGAACAAACCCAGCAACAACGTCCAGTCAGTTAAAATAGCAACCTGAGGAGTTCAGGCTCTGGCCATGATGCCAGAGGCAGGATCCCGAGAGGGACATGTAGGCAGCAGCCCAAAGGCACAAAGCTACTCTGGGAATGTGGGCCTTAACTGCATTTCTCTTTCCAGGGCATTTGCTTTATGCTGTAGGAGATACTTGCCAGTCCCTAAATGCAGTTCACCCTGTGCCAGGGGCTCCCCACTTTTCCATCTCTGCCCAGCCTACATCTGCTTCTCCTTTTCAAGGAACAGGCTGGGGCAGGGACACGGCAGCTCCTCACTTCCCTCCCCACAGCTTCTTTGGGCAGATCTCACCAGCTGCTGAGAGATTCCTCTTGTCCATTGTTTTTTTTGTGTCTGTCCACAGGGTGGAGGTCATGACTTGCATATAAGCCAGCCTGCACTGAAAATAAGCATTAAAGCTACAATTATAGAGGGATCAAGTCATGGAACAGAAAGGGAGGATGGAAAGCAAGAGGAAATATTTGTATGCCAAAGGCAACAACAGGAAAAAGTTCTTGTCGTGAAGAACATTTTGTCTGTGGTTTGTCACTTGTCATGTTGTTTTCCACACCACAGAGCTGCAGTCCAGCTCTCCCCAGCACAGAAATTTAATGAGGAGGCTGGAGCCTGCTGAAGGACCACTTGATGTTTGATTGTGGATGCAGGCAAAAGTGCAGTGCAGACCCTGGAGAGCCCACACTGGCAGCTGTTGTTAGTGGGGCTCGAGCTGGAGGGGCTCGAGTGAGGGCTGACACTTCACAGGGTGAGGCAGGGCCAGTGTTAGAGAGGAATCTGTGCTGGCAGCAGGTTGCGAGTGAAGGGAAGAGAGGTGCAGTTTGGCACTGTTGGAAACATGGTCTTTACACATTGCTCTTTTCTTCTCTTTGAAGTACAAGTGACTATATACTATATATATATATATATATATATATATACACAATATATAGTATATAGTATATATATACTATATACCGATTATATTTTCCTTTGTTTCTCACAAGCTTAATGTGTTTATTTCATAATGGGCATTTCATACTTACAAAGAGAAAGAAAAAAATCCCGTGATTTTTCTGTCCTGTCAACAAAAATGTTTTTGCTTAGTTGGTTAGTTATGTAGTCCTTTAATAATCTTAATAAAACACCAGCAAAGATTTGTCATGAGTGTTACTCCAATTTGTTCAATGATGTTCTGGACATCTTTTTATTCTTTAGTAATATCTTTTTAAAGGAAGATTGCCTTATCAACAGCCTTAACCAAAACAAAATGACTATTTTCAGGCTTTAGGATGGGAAATATTTGAGAGTAAACTGAAGCACCTCTGGCCTATAAAATCCCATGACAGGGAATCAGACTAGAGGAGACTTTTGATAAGATCCACATGCAGAATTGAGATATGGAGTGGGACATGGAGAAATAGAAAAACTTCAGCAATGCTGATTTGGAAAGGGGTTGATAATGAATGACAGACAGCAAGTCAGATGCAGGGCGTCTTTAACTCCTACTGGGACACTCATGATGATCCTGTCAGGGGCTGTCATCTGATGTGTACTCCCAGCCCGGGCTTCCAAAGCCAGGCTACAGTGGGTGCTGAGTGCTGGTTGATGTGCCACCTGCACAACCACCAGGAGTCAAGTGAGTCTCAGAGAAATTTCACCTTGTATTCCAAAGATTTGGTGCAGATGGATCTCTGGAAGGCAAGAGCCACCCCTGCCACAGAGCCATGGTGCAGAAAAGCACCATCAGACAGAAGAAAGTAGCTGCAATAACCCCAAAGCCTGGAAGCAATCCAAAGCACAGAGAGAGAAAGAGTGAACCTAGCAACCAGACCAAAATTCAGGCCTCATCTAAACTCTCTTTTCCTGTCCATGTGTTTAGTTCTGCTTTTTGTTTCATTCTAATTCTGGAGAAAATGCTGGCATGTGTTCCTTCCCCTTACAGCTCAGACATAGTCAAGCACAGGTGGGTGACATCTGGGGAGAAGGTATTTTTTCTCAAAGCTGAGCTCTACCACGAGGATTTGCTATCAGTTCATCTGTCTTGCACGTGATTAAAGTCCTAACATGGTACCTACAGGTTTATTTTTTTCAACTGTTCTTTTTTGTCTTCCAGGGTTTGGTATGACCACCCCGGCCACCGTTGGAGGCAAAATTTTTCTGATATTTTACGGCCTTATAGGATGTGCAGGGACCATTTTGTTCTTTAACCTGTTCCTGGAGCGCTTGATCACTGTCATAGCTTACGTCATGAAGTCCTGCCACGAAAGACAGCTGAGGAGGAAAGGGGTTCTCCCTCACAACGGCCGGCGGGGCTCGGGGACCTCTGAGGTGGACAGCCTGGCGGGCTGGAAGCCCTCTGTGTACTATGTAATGCTGATTTTATGTGTAGCATCCCTCATCATTTCCTGCTGTGCCTCTGCAATGTACACACCAATTGAAGGGTGGAGTTACTTTGACTCACTTTACTTCTGCTTTGTGGCCTTCAGCACCATTGGTTTTGGTGATCTGGTCAGTAGCCAGAACATCAGGTATGAGAGCCAAGGCCTTTACCGCTTTGGCAACTTTGTCTTCATACTCATGGGGGTGTGCTGCATCTATTCCTTATTTAATGTGATCTCTATTGTCATCAAGCAGTCCATAAACTGGATATTAAAGAAACTGGCCTGCAAGTGCTGCCACAGGTGCCAAAGGAGATTATTTCGTTCGCGGAGGAATGTGGTGATGCCAGGAAATGTGCGCAGCCGGAGGAACATCTCCATCGAGACAGACGGTGTCAATGAGAGTGACACGGACGGACGCCGTCTGTCAGGAGAGATGATCTCCATGAAAGACTTCCTGGCCTCCAATAAAGTCTCACTGGCCATCATGCAGAAACAGCTGTCAGAAACTGCTAATGGGTATCCAAGGCAAATGAGCTCTAACTCGAAGCAAAATGGATTCTCTGGTGGGGTTGGAGCCCTGGCAATTATGAATAACAGACTGGCAGAGACAAGTGTGGATAGGTAAAATAATAACAGTAATAACAGTGAAACAGTGTGAACCATTTAAACAGGTATTGAAACAATGTGAATCAAGTGAAATAGCTAGGGAGAGAGTACCACCAGAGGGTGGGATGATATGAAGAGCATACCTCCTGATGGAAGACCTCTTGACTTTTTTGGGGGCTGTCACTTAATGCTTTTGCATTGTACCAGTCCCAGCCTTCCTTCTTCCCCATCATTATGCTCCTCAAGCAGGTTACTGCAGGAGGATTTTAATTTAGCCTTGAGATAAAACTTCCATGTCCTGTTCTTCTCCATTATGTGACATACAGATTTCAGGATAAGAAATCTGTGGGATGGGAGAAACCAAGTGTGTCTACTGAGCACATTCTTAATTCAGAGATTGTTTGGAGTAACTGTTTTACTTTCATCATGCCTGTTTCCTGGAAGTGACTTATCTGAGACCAAAAGATGAATCAGCCTTTGTGATATTGCAGATTGAATTTAATGGGAAATAGTATGAAAGTTGGTCGGTATATTCTGGAGCTACTGTAATGTGAATGGGGTGAGAATTTTGACTTTAGAATTTATTTAGTCTTTCCTATAATAGGATACTGTCAAAAGTGATAGAATAAAAACTTATCCTACTTTTGTTTTCTTTTCTTCATTTGCAAAATATGATTCTTTTCCAAGGATACTTTTTCTTCTAGAATTGAATCATTGTGTCTTTCTGTTTCAAAAATGTCAAATTAAATTGAAAATGGACATACTGATGAGTGGTTACTCCACAATAGCAAAGACTTTCCAAATTTCTGTTCATATTTGCCTCAATTGTGACTAAAGTACCAGCATTATGTAATGCAACTACTAACTGAGTTTACACAACAGGCTTTAGTATGCAATTAGATTGCCATGCCAGCATCCAGAGTGTTATTATAAATGACTGTGATAAAAGAATCACTTTGGCAGTGTCCTTTTTTATGTAACTCTGTCATTCTTCCTCTGTTTCTCTGACTTTCAGTGATAATAATGAGAGGCTCTTGATTAGGGAAAGAGAAAATGTTTTCATTCCTTGTTTTTGTCAATGAGATGCTCTGAGTGCTCATTATGACTAGAAAGGAAATTTCAATGAGAAGAATAATAACAGTGAGAAGATCATGAAACCAGGAAAAGAAGTGATCTTTAATGACAGTGAAATCATCCTTTGTATTAGGTAGCTAGAGAAATAAGGAATTAAATTAACGTAAAATCTAGCAAGAATTTAAGAAAGACTGGGCTGAATTCCTGATTCTCCTTTAAACATGCAACATATTAAAGCTAAACAATATATGAGAGTGTAAATAAGCAGAACTTGTCACAAAGGACCCCATCCCCTGGAAAGAATAGTATATGCATCAGGACTAAGTGTTTTCACACAGCTGGAAAGCCTTTCAGACTACTGCAATATTAGGAAATTTAAAACATCATGATGTAGTTCTCTCATATGGGACAATGCAGATAGCCTCTTCAGTTTAATTTATATTAGGAATTAATTGTTTTTCTTCATTCTGGCCTAAATTCTTTCACTTACATTTCTAATATTGTAGAATAACATTTTTATACTCATTGTATCAATATTTGAATTTGAAAACAAAAGCCTGGAATCCTTTCATATAATAAGCTAACCCAAGATATTCAAGAAATGTCTTAACTAGTAAAAAAATTGCAAGCTTTTTTTACATTATTAGGGGTAAAAATCCCGATTTAAAATTAAATCCTGCTGTTCTTATTACAAGGAAAGCTTCAAGCTGAAGTCATCAATTCAGATTCTGATATCTGTCAACTCATCTGTGCAGCGATGGAATAGTCTTAACAGTATTCCTTCACATTTGCATCCATGTAAAACCTAGATCAGCTTCCAAACCAAACTCCTGTGAGAAAAGCAGTTTTATTTGGTTTTTTGGAGATATTAGCATAAATTACCACCGAGCTATTTCAGATGATCTATAATACCCAAGATCCATTGCACTGTTACACTTTTCTTTTTATCCCAAGGCCTTCTGTGTCTTAATCGCCCTGAATACAAATACTCGGCTATAAAAACAGGGATGTACTGCTCTGTAGCCGTCTTTCCAAATTCATTCAGAAACACCTCTGTTCAATGCCTGTAATCCTAAGATATCATTGTTACAGATGAATTCCTCTGCCAACTAGAAGAAATAGTATAGGACTTAACCCATTGTTTCAGCAACCATTAAGAGGGTCTTCAGATGGTTTCAAGACATGAGACAGTTGTGTTGCTCTGTTCCATTCTTTCTGGTAACCAGTGCTGGTTTCTCATCACCACAGAGGAATCTTTGTCAGCTCTTTTCAATAGGTCTGAAAACATCTATGATTATGAAAGCAAGGGACTAATAAATAGTCTTTATCCAAAAGAGTTGGCAAGGCTGTGAGGGATCTTTGGTGTACACTAACTCTGTTTTCATTGATCAGCCCTGACCTTCTGCTCACTCAAGCACTGCCTTCCTCGTGACCCACGCCTGCCAGGTGCAAGATCTCTGCACTGGTTTTGTGGTTGGATTTCTTGTCCACTGAAGATAATGAGGGAATAGCTGCACTAATCATCTCTGTTCAGATGCCAGTTGCCAGAGATGAAGGACCTGCATATTCTGTCCCTGTGCCATCTTGTACCATGACATCATCCCGTCCCTAAGAGACCTCTGACTTTGTCATTGAGCTCCCCTTACGGCAGCCACCCTCAACATTGAATGAGGTAACTTTGCCAAGGAGAGCGTAGAATTCTTAGAGAATATCTGTGGATAAATAAGATTTTTAAGATCAGAGAGAAACATTTCTGACTACAGTCCCACGGTACAACTACAGTTGTTTTACTAAAGGCATTGAAGAAAAAAATCCCCAAAAGCTCTGATTATAATGAGCTATAATATTATACTTTAATATCAAGATATTAAATTTGCAAAACAAGCGGATATACAAATGTACACATACAAAAAAAGAGCAGAATTTAACACAGGAGTGACAAATGGCCATCCTGTGTGAAAAGTAAATTACAATAAAAATATAACATCACATTTCTTGCATTACTTTTTAAAGTAGCAATGAGGAATTAAAGGAGATAGTCAGGGGTCTATTTTCAAAGCAGTGTAGATTTTAATGCAGTATTGCTTAACACTAAAATCTCAGTCAACAAGACAGAAACCTGTTTTCAAAAGTACTGTTTCTCTGTTGCCTGCCATGAATTTTCATGGTGGCTATTGAGATATTGGGATGAGGTTTTTAAGGCAAAAGTGTTTGGGGGAAAACTTTGGATGCATTGAGATTCTGAATATGCACTTCAAAGGGTCAGGAGTGCCACTAAAATAAGTGGGTTAAACTGCAGGTTGCAGCCTGCCAGTCTGAAACTGAAAGTCCTTAATGGAGTTGTCTGCTGAAATTTAACCTTATAGTTATGCCACAACTTAATAATAGCATTATTGAACAGTATCATTATTTTACATTGAAAGGAATATCTAGTGATAACCAAAATACAATCAAATAAAAGTAGAGGTAGCTCTTAGGGTTTTCTTGCTAGTTTAGTAAAATGTGTGCATCAGGCACTTTGCTGGTAGGTAGGTATGAATGCAGTTACATTCATTTCTATCCATGAAGGACATGGGCTGCTTTTTGCAAGGACATGAACAGACTCTTCAAAGGCATTTAATTCCTGCTGGAAGTCAATTAACTTCCCACCACACACCAGCTTTCAGTGGAAGTCAGGTACCTGATTCCCTTAGGCAATTTCAGAACCCCTGCCATGTATTAGATTTTGAATCTAAGATGACCTGACAGTGCCCTGAAAAGTTCAAACAGTTGGAGCAAAGTTTCAGTGCTGCAGCACTCTAATAGCTGAATTAATTTATCTAAAAGCATTTTATGGTGAAAGCTTTACATCAACCAAATAACACAATCAATGTTTACATTTTGTTTGATTTAATCTTGGCCTCTGTCAGTTTTAATTGTATTTGACACATTTACAAATTGAAAAACAAAGAGAAGGTTGGGCTAGGCATAAAAAATAAAGCAGCTCCATTTCTCCGACTGAATTGATCAAGACAAAGAGGTTAGGTTGGGAAGAGAGCTTTTTGATTAACATTATATTTTAATAATATTTATCTGGAGGTGAAGGGTATTAAGTTGTTTGGATGACTTCTCTCCAATAGCTGTGGAAGTGGAACTGCTTGTGTGACCTTCTGATGTCCCCACGCTGGGAACAGAAGCTCAGTGAGCCTTAATTTAGAGAAGGGTCAGCATTTACAAGCAATACAGTTGGAATCTTCTGTTGTTTTAATTTAGGCTACTAATGCTGGGATAACACAACACTTTCTTAGATTCTTCAAGAAGTAATAAAGTTATTTTATCTAATGTCACATACAAGCTGTACATGGAGAATCACCAAATGTTTTCTTTCCCCTGGGCAGAAAATACTGCCAAATACAGAAGTACAATGTGTCTGTTTGAGAATATTCACAGTACTTTTTTGCTTAATCCAGGAAATAAGAATATAATCCCTTCCCTACTCTTTATTTTCCCAACATCTATTGGCAACAATTTCTACCCAATACTCTGCTTATGACTTAAAAGGTCACATTTTACTAGGAAAATGAAAGCCATTTCTCCTCAAGGTGGACCAGCATATTCTTATCTTTTATTAGATTTAAGAGAAACTGTGAACACAAAGAAAGACTTCATATCAAAGTAGTCAGAAGCTTTTTGATATAGCCTGTGTTTACAGGGCTGTTTTATGTCAAACCACACAAAAACCTCATCACTGCAGACTTATAAGAGCATAAGTAAGTCTAAGAACAACCTTATGGAATAAATACACTATGTTATATTTTGGTTTTTCACAGTTTCACTCTAATATAGGCCTTCAGGCTTCATTATTTGAAATTATTTGTGATAATAGAATAAATATAAATTTGCAAAGGTTTTGAGAGGCACAAAAGTGAGATATGTTTTAAATGAAATATTATTTTCCACAGGCTGCCTAGCTTTCTACAAAGGGGAAGTTTGATGAAAGGCAGAATCAACTCTTTCCAAGAAAGGGTGCAATTTCTGGACTCAAATGGATTTCCTATTAGGTACAAGCAGAAACTCCCAGAGGAGCAAGATGGCTTAATTTTCACAAATGTTATCTTTCTAAATGCTTTTCAAAGCTATTTCCCCTTTTAAAGCCATGGAACACTGTCAGTGTTTTCTGTTTGTCTTATCTGAGAAAACTTAATGTTTCTTTTTCCATATCTTTAGAAGAAAATATGCACATGAAGAAAAATAAAAATTACCTTACATAACCTTTACATGTATTGCTTGGAGCTGCAGAAATCCTCCTCTTTATCCTAACTCAAGTTTACACCAGAGTAATTTCTCCAGCTCACCAAAGAGGTCTGGTATTGCTAGTGAGTAGTCACAGCTCAAATAAAAGGACTTTAAAGTTGTATTTGGTCATCTGTTAAATGAGGCAATGAGCTGATGGTCTGAGCAGTGGGTGCTGTTCTAAGTTTGTTAGCATTGTTCTCATTTCTGCAATGGTCAGGGAGACCCTGAGTAGTGTGCAGAAAAGTCCTTAGTGCTGCAGTAGCAGCAATTGCTGGCCATTAACCTCTGGGTGTCCTGCTGCCTGCACTGTCTGGCCCAGGGCCAGAACTAGACAGTGAGTATGCCCAAAACCACCATTTCAGAGATGCACAGAATAATTTTCTGTGGAAGATGCCTCTGGATGCCATCCTGTCACCCTTTTCCAAAGCAGGCCTAGCTAGTTCCTGGCCATCTGTAATCTGCTGGGTGAGGCTTCTCCAGCACTCTGTTCACAGTGTACTGACAGTGCCCTTCTTGCATGAGGCAATGAACAACACCCCTACGAAGAGCAAGTGACAGGCCTTCCTCTGCACTATTACATTTGGGTAAATACTTAGCTCTAAGTTAAACAAATTTCTTTGTAAATGGCATCCAGACTGCTGCTTTTCTCAGCCTCATACATAGCAGATGGGTATTTTGATCCCTAGGTATCATTATTGTTGGCAGTCTTATTTGAGATGGCAGAGACTGAAAAGGTCAGTCTGTCTGCCTTAGGTTCCTAGGCAGGGGTATTACTCTTTTGGCAAACAACCCATGGCACTTTGGCTCTATGCCTCAGATTTGGCTGGATTCTTGCTCAAGAATGGATTCTGCTCTGCTGAAATCAATGGAGACTTTGCTTCTGGATTTTTTATCTGGAATTTTGCACAAGAATTTTAATTTCACTTTATAAAATAATCCAAAGAAATGTGACTAGCCTTTAGCTTCACTTTTACCACCAATTGTGCAAATGCTAACTCTACTCATGCAGTGCTGTATTCTGCAATAAGTTATTGACCAGGAACCATTTTTTGGTCAACAAAATAATAATAACAACAAAATAATCTACTTCTAAAGAAGAGCAATTTAAAATTGAAAGTAGACAGATTATTATCTCTAAGAATTTTTTGGTAGTCATTTATTTCATCAGCTGAAAAAACTCTAACAACACATTTTCCATGAAAATTCCTACAGTTTTGCAAAGGTAAATTTTGCTCTGTGCTGACTGCTTGTGTAAGCTTATTCTTTCCCTCAGCTTTTTGCCCTCAGTCCACACCTGCAGGACGCTTCACCCTCTTTTTTTTCCTTTCCATTTGTCTTCTTTCTTGGTTCATAAAATTCTTCTGTTGGCTAAATACACATGGTATATATACCACACAAAGCAAGTCAGGAGGAAAAGCAAGTGAGGCACAGAGAGTTCTGAATGCCCCATCAGCTGAGAAGGTGTCAAACAGAGCTTACACCTCCTCAGATTGCAGCATAGGTGCAAAAGGTAAACAGCAAGTGTTGTGATATTTTAGCATCTCTAAAAAAGAAATCCCTTTAATCTGCCAGGATTTTAAGTTCTTTATTCATTATGCTATCCCTGCCTTTTGCTTTTTTACCTTCTTTGGATGCCTAAGGCTTTAAGGCCCTGTGCATGAACAACTGAAACTACAGAAATGTAGTTTCTGTAGTTCTGTTTTCCCTATTTGCAAAAGATTTGGTCCTTGTTTGGCACCATGTAATAGGTCTGTGCAATAGCAGGAGTTAGAATCCACAAACCACAGCCCATGATTATAAGAAAATTGAGAACTTTGTCATGCTTCTAATGAATTTCCAGCATTAGAGATTTCAGTTTTCCCAGGCAACCTACTGCAAACCCATTGTAGAGCATCTTAATTTTAAACATTTTCCCAGGCACTAAATTTATATCTCCCTTGCTACAGCTGAGGCACATTGTTTGCATTTGAGCCCTGCTTAAAATGGAGAACAGAATATTCCCTTCCTTTTTGAAAGGAAGGTATTTTTTTACAGTATCTCATCTCAGTCTTTGCTATCTCAGGCTAAACATGTCCCCTTCCTTATGTGACATTTTTTACCATTGCTCTACAATGCTCCAGATTGTGCTTCATCACTTGGTCACTTTTCCTTTCAAGTACAGTGCTCAAAATGATATACAGAGACAGAGAAAATATATTGTTAATAGAGCATGGAGCAGCACAATTATTTTCCTTATCTTACCTACCTATCCTGTTCCTGTTTCTGGACTGGTGCTTGCTATTTTAAAACACTGTTGATTCATCTTCAGTTTTTCATATAATATCAATGCCAAATTATTTTTTTCAAAACTATTACCTAAACTATAGTGCCTCCAGTTATGCAGGTGATTATTGTGATGTACCATATTTCATGGATTGTTATTGAGTTGTTTCTGTTTTTTTCAGATCTCTTTCCCATATGCATGTTGGTTTGAATCCTTGTCTTTCAGCATCTTTGCTACCCTGACTGCCTGGAATCATCTTCAAAATGATTGTGTCCTGTATTTCATCATCCAAATTAGTAATAAAAACAGTGAACCACTATTTTTGCAAAACCCAGTCAATACTTTCTTCCTGTTTGAAACAAAACTGTTGGTCTCTACCTACTGTTGTCTGAACACTGTTTCACAATCAATTTTACACTTGTTTCATGTTGGTTTCATCAAGTGTAAATGACAGTAAGCTGCAATTGCAATATTTTTATTCCATGCTGTCAGATATGAGCTAAAAAAGATTTAGATTTCAGATCCCAAGGGAATTTTCACAACTGATTAGTTGATGGAAAAGTCAAAAATTGAAATTATACAAAAGTAAATCTTGATTTGCCAAGTCTCCAACATAAAACTCCAGTCTGTCGTTTTACAGGTGCATATTGTAAAATAGTTGTGTTCCCAGAGCTACAGAAACAGATCAAACTAATAGAAAGATCACCTGGAATTCAGGCTGAAAAATACAAAAGTACTTTGGCAATACATGGAAGGATTTGGGTCAACTTTTACACATTGTCTTGGTTTGAAAGACAGACATCTGCCAAAGAAAGTGGGAGCCTCCCTTGGAATGGAACGGAATGGAAAAAATATGACCCCTTCCCTCGGAATGATTATAACTTTGAAATTAAGAGGCTCTTAGGCAAAGATATGGGGAAAGGAATAACAGTTCTTTACTAGTATGCTTATGTATATAGCAAGGCGGACGAACAACTATGGCAGCAACACCAAACCAAACCAAACCAAACCAAACCAAACCAAACCAAACCAAACCAAACCAAACCAAACCAAACCAAACCAAACCAAAGCAGAAACCCAGTAAAACCTCTCGGCCGCGGTGCTTCCCCTCCCCTGCAGTTCCAGGCACGGCCAGCAGGGGCGCTGCTGGCTGCCGGCCGGGCAGGGCGGATGTGCTGAGTCCTCCGCACCTGCAGGGGGCGCTGTGGCGCGGGCTCGGCCTCCCTCATGCGGCGGTGGCGGCCGGGCTGCATGGGGAGATGGAAATGGCTGCAGCAGGAACCTCGGAGCGGCGGCTGGCACGGCAGGGACGAGCAGAGCCCAGAGTAGCAAAGGAAATGTGTCAGAAACTCCACACCTGCAGCAGGAGCCACCGAGTGCCCTGGCAGGCAGCGGGTGTGGGTTTGAGCATGGTGGAAAAGCGTAAGAGAGCAGCAGAGAGCAGCAGGGCTTGGCAGCAGCAGCCATGGCTCCTCCTTGGCAGCTGTCGCACGCAGCCAGGAAGAGACCTCCTCTGGGAAGGGGGAACGGGTTGGGGTCCTGGGTTTTTGCCCTGAGACACCTGAATAGATGGTGAGGGTCCCTCCCAGTCAGAACGGGTCCCAGTTCAACAGCTGCTCTAATGAGCAAAGGCTCACCATGGTAGCAGGAGCAATGGGATGACAAAAGCTTCGTCATGGCAGTGAATCCTCTGGGCAGCACCCACAGACTGCCTGTGCCTCCTCCAATGCTGAAAGCGAGACCCAGCCCATCACCACCCGGCCAAAATTTCCCGGTATCTCTGCTTTCCTAAGAGAAAACCCCCAGGTAAGAAAGTAACCAGCTGCACCTTCCCCCTCCTCTTTTGTTCTCTTAAAAACAATAGCTATTGTTTCTTAGCAACAGATGGGACAAAATTCCACGAGAGAAAGAAACAAAAGTAAAAATCCTAATCCCCAACACGTGTAAAACACAGCATGTATTTCCATCCTACTGATTAAAATCCATTTTGAAAAAGTCAAACATCAGCATGGAATATTTTTCCATTAATATTATTTTAGTTTAAGTTTATACATAAAATCCTATTTGAAGTGGAATTATGCTAGATATATTTAACCTTACTGGCTACAAGTACTGAAACAAAACAACTATTTTTGTGTGTGTGAGAAAAGGGTTTTTCAAGACTATTTTTCCCTTGATGCGTCGGGCTATTGATTCTTTTTTCAAACATTGATCTCCTTAAGGATAGCAGGAACCTGTGACCAGTAGATGATAGAAACTTCCTTGCTTCAATTCCCAAACAAACCTTGTGGATTTATAATGTATGTGCTGAGTGTGAGCAAGTTCATTATTCATTAGTTAAAGGCATCTTGGCTTATTGTCCAAGCAAATGCTCTTCTGACAGAAAAAAGAAGGTGTTAAATGTATTTAGTGCCCCTATCAGGTACCCATCGTAAGCAAATCCTGCTTGCAGGAAAGCTGGCTTGCTGGAGGGAAGTTATGCTGCTCCCTCTCTGAACCCTGGAGAGTTATACATTAAATATACAAATCAGCTTTGTATGAAATAGGTCACTACAGTAAAGTCATCACTGTCTTGATTTTGATCAGCTTTAAATGGGCTCATGAGAGGAGTTGTACCACAAGTGTTTGCAACAGCAGTAACTGCAGTAAACAATTTCCAGCACAGAGCTAAATGGGGCCTCTGGAGGCAAATACAGGTTAATAATAATAACAAACAACAGAGACCATGTAGAACAGGACTACAGAAAGGAAAGTGATGAGGTTTTACTAAATATACTCCTCATCTTCTTACTACCATCAGGAAGTGACACTGGATGTTGAAGACTGGACATTGGGACTTTTAGAAGGGAAGCACTGGTCTCCTTTCTGATGGCATGCTAAAGTGGAAATTTTTAGGCCTGGTTTCTAAGAAATGTGTAAGCAAATGCATGGTAATCCCATTGTTGTGGTAAACTGCAGCAGGAGAATGCATGATAATCAAAGTGTTTGAGTTGTTATTATAGGAACAAAGTATTCTTTTGAAGGGAAGAAAACTACTTGAATATCTTAAACAGACTAGGACTTTCTCAAATAAAATTTCCAAAATATGTAGATAATTTAGGTGCTTGACCTTGAATATGGAGTTATTCTGAGCCAAGTTCCATTGGTTGCCTTAAAAGAGCAGCTATGTTTCCAGCACCAGCCCACTCTGACAGTCCCCTAACACCACAGCTCCACAGAAAGGGGGAATGTGCCCATGCCACTCCAAGTGCTTCTTTCGAAAGGAATGCAGCCACCACATGCCTCCCTCTCTGCACAGAGACCTGGAGCCCTTTCACATCTGGAGGCTTTCAAGGCATGCCCAGCCCATCCCATGAGTGCTGCAAGGGTTTTCCCTACTCTTGCAGTTTGTTTTCATGGTTATCCAGCCCTGAATTTCCCAAGGAGCAGGCTTTCCAGCCAGGCAGCCACTTGTCCTGTGGGCTTCCTTGGCACCACACCCTGAAGTACCCATGCTGGGTACAGCCACCCACCATGGCAGCAGAAATGGCTGTGCTTTGGGCCATCTGCCCAGTCTCTGACAGAGATTTCACTGTCCCACCAGCAATTTGGGTGCTGAGACCCCTGCATGTTTCTGGAGCAGGTTCTCCATCCCTTTTCTTCCTATTCACAATAACAGCCTAATTAAATACCTCACTGGATACCCAATATCCAACATTCAGCAGTATCATCACCAAATTTGTCTCCTGCAAACAGAGAAGCTATGAGAGTATTAATAGCATGCAATCTGTTTATTTTCTTGCCCAGAGGAGTTTTGTACTTTATTCATAAATTAGGATACTGATATTTTCTTTTCAATAAAAGATGATGACATTATCACATGTATGGATTAAGTATTTTTTCAGGTAAGACTGAGCAAAATGACCACCTCCTTAACACTATAATTCAGCAGACTTTAGGAAACACATTGGGTTTCCTCCAGAGACCTATTTGGGGTGTTTAAGGAGCTTGTCTGAGCGCTCCCATGGTCTCAGCAAATGGCTGGTTGAGACACTGGTCCCTTCTGATGTGAGGCACCGCACCCACGCGTAGGCTCCATGTGTGCTGTCTGCCCAAAGGCAGATGCTTCTGCTCACTGAAACTCCATCGCTTTAATTAAGATTATTTTTATGTCTTCAGTTCTATTTTTTCTAAAGCTATTCTTGTGTCTGAGTTTGTGCTCCTGACAAACACTATCAAGTGGTGAGTGAAGGGAGAATTCATGTCCCACATAGGTAGTAAATGATAATGTTGTTCTTGGAGCATAACCTCGGGGTTATGTTTTACAGATTCTTTATGACTGGATTTACTCCCCTCTTGCTTTGCTTAGTATAAGATAAATCCCATAGGAAAATGCTGGCATTGGCTTTGTGTAAACAGACAACAAGTATTCAGATTGAAATTCCTGTTGGACACAAATGGTCAGACCTAGTTTTTGTTCCTCTAAAGAGCAGTGTGCTACACACCAGGTTAGTGTCTTAGTCACAGTATCATGATCTGTTTCCTTTAGGTTATATCTTACAAAAATTATAGCATAGAACATTTCTCCAATTAGTAAGTGGCAAAAAAAATCAAATTATTTAAAAGGAAAATTAAGCAAACTTGTGGAGGAAAGGTCTGTTAAGGATGCTTCCATGTACTTTTTGGTGTTTTTGTTTTTTTTTTTAACCAAAAGAGAGTTTGTTCTAGGACCTAAAATTATATGTGATATATTTTCATAAATAGCTGGGGTGGTGAAGGACTCTGATGTGTTAGGTGAAAAAAAAAAGCACCATTTTAATCCTGACTGTAGCACACTGTGGCGTGCTGAACTGATAATATAGCAGATGAAACAGGACAAACACATGCAAATGTCAGTGTGAATCTTGTTCTTTGCTCATTGACTGTCAGTACCCTTGAACTTAATATTATTTTAATTTTACTCTCCCTGTTCCTCATTTCCAGTGCAATCAATACCAACCACCAGGTTGCTAGAAGCGTGCTCTTGTGCTTTACCCTGAGCATCAGGCTCGTTTGATGTTAAAAGCTTTGAGTACCTGATGCTGGATTGTCACTGCCTGATATTGCCCTTCCTTTATATCAGTGCCAAGGAGACTAGAGGAGCTTCAGGGAAGCTACAGTTTTGAAGATTCATGCTCAGCCCTTTTACTCCTTTTGATATGTTCAGACCCAAAGTCTAGTATCCAGCCTCCCAGATGCTGGATCTTCATCCATTCTGGTCAACTAAAGGGTCAGAATTGAAAGCCTGTCCAAATTATTAGGTCTGCAGACAAGGCCAGTGCACTGCCATGAGAATGGAAG